ATTGTGGGTAGTGTAGTTTACCAGTGAACTGAGGATTGTGGGTAGTGTAGTTTACCAGTGAACTGAGGATTGTGGGTAGTGTAGTTTACCAGTGAACTGAGGACTGAGGACTTGTGGGTTGTGCAGCAGGTCTTTCCACAGCAGCTCTATCTCTGGGATCCGAGCAACATTCTGCAGCAAACGAACCAGATCTCTTCCGATGATCAGACACTCCATGAACTACAAACACAGACAGGGTTGTCAGGGAAACCTTACTTCTTTACTTCCTTATGTACGTCTGTCTTTCTTCCTTCCTTCCTTACCTTCTCCCTCAGCATGCTGATGCAGAAGTCCACCTCTTTCTGGCGGAGAATCAGCAGGTTGGGGGCTCCATGGTCAACGATCAGGCGGAGGTAGGTGTAGACTGACATGGCTATCAGCATCCCGCTCTTCAGGACCCACTCCCTACACAGAGAAAACAGATTCAGCTGCTTCACTGCAAAACTGCTCCAGTTTGTTCAAGAAGAAAAATTACTTCAGTCGCTCCAAAGAAATTTTTACTGTAAAATGAATCAGGGTTAATACTTCCTGTTGGTCTGATAAGGCAGATGTGTGATAAACAAATGTAAAGTGAAACATACTTCTGATCCAGGAGGATCTCGAGGACGTTCTCAGCCAACCACAGGTTCTTAGCGGAGATATCTCCACCTGAAAATCAAACAATACAAACTCAGCTGTGACTGATTCACTTAAGAGAAGTGAACTGTGTGACTGACAGTTTCTGACCTGCGATCTGTTTCAGCAGCGTCATGACGACGCCGTCTGCTCCTATCACGCCGCTCTTCACCAGCTCTCGGACCAGCCACACCAGCTGCACACACAACTTCATCAGTTTCACCATTTACAGACGATTATTTCAGGTCAGAGGTCACAGTGGACACGTCCACACTAATACTTTATCATTTAAACAAGAAAATAATCCTCTTCCACACAAGCGTTTCATCTGCGTCATCGTTTACTAAAGTCTCAGTTTCTGTTCAGACTAAAACACAACCCCAGAGTCTTCAAACTAAAACCAGACCAGCAGAGTTCAGTCTCTGATTCAGGGACTGAAAAACTCCGCCAGGTGTAACCATAGCAACACTGATGTGTTCTTCTGGTGGTTCACCTGAGTTCTCGGGACGTCCTGCAGTTTGAGGAACTTCTCCATCAGGATCTGGTTGATCTTCACAAGGATCACGTTCATTCCATCTCTGTTGACCAGCGTCAGGTCTCTGTAACACTGCCCACACACACACACACACAGTGATGTCAGAGTGTTGTCATGGTGATGTCACACATTAATAATGCTGCGGTGGTGTCTCACCCTCTGAGCCTGGGTCGGTTCCGTGAGGACCAGAGTGAACAGACCCAGACACACCTCCTCATGCTGCTGCTGACCTTTACACACCTGAGGGACAGGTAAACAGGAAGTTGAGACTATAAATGAAAATGTCTCACTGTGATGCTGGTGGTTGCCATGGTGATGGTACAGTGTGTTTTTCTTACATTAGCAGTGAGCGCGTCGTTGGCTTCTCTCTCAGACAGCCCATTGGTCAACGACTGGACGATCCCAGCACACCGCTCCGATTTCTGTGCACACACACGCACAGTATCACTCAAGTGTTTGTGTGTGTGTGTGTGTGTGTGTGTGTCCTTATGTGTATAAGTATGTTTGTGTGTCTGTTTGTTTGTGTGTGTGTGTATGTTTGTGTGTATGTGTGTGATTGTATGTGTGTATATGTGTGTTTTGTGTGTATGTGTGTATGTATGTGTGTGTGTGTATCTCAGTCCTTTTGACAGAAACCAAACAGCCCCACGGCGCATGCGCACCTGTCACTTTCTATCCATATGTTTACGTAGGGTTAGCATGCTATGCTAACAATCGGTAAGTTGTGCCGTTAAACCGCACCCCCCGGGGCTCGCTCACACCGGACACACTACAGCGGTCTCACACCGCGGGTTCACACCGGCTACAGCGTGTTAACACATGTTCTTGGGCGGCTGTGCCATGCTAACGCTGCTAGCCCCCTGCTAGCCGTGCTAACTAGCCTAGCCCGGGTGATCCAGTGGCTCCATGTCTTTGTTTTAAACTAAACTCAGAGTGCTCGGGTCCAGCGGAGTTCTCCCGGGTGATATCTGCTCGAGGAGCCGCTGGCCCGGGGTAGCTTACCTCTTCCAGCTCGTCTTTGGTGTCCAGCAGGGTGGACACCAGTAGCCGGCCCTGCGGCTTCATCTTCGCCGGTGCAGGCTCCATCTGCTCCCGCCGCGCCTCACCGGGCCCCGCGGAGCTGAGAAGGGCTGAGTCCCGGTTCAGCGGGTTGAGTCAGTGTCGGGGTACCGGGGAGTGAGCTGCGGTGGTCAGGGTGTCACGCTCGGCTCAGTGACCGTGTGTTGTAAACTTGTGTCGGGGCAGTGGTGACTCTCAGTCCCGCTCTGAGGCTCCGACCACCGCAGACACATAACGGACATCCGCACCGGGACCACAGGCCTGTCCACCAATCACATCACCACACGCTCTGACTGATGGGACCGTGGGCCAATCACAGGAGAGGAAATCTGGAGCCAATCCCCGGGCTGCTGTGCCTTCATCAATAAATAACATGTAAATATAACATGTTAATATAACATGTCAGTGTGTGCATTTGTTCACTCATTTGTATGCATGTGTGTGTGAAACAGATACAGCCTGCATCCCGGACCGGTCCTCTATCTGGTAGCTGCATC